CTGCCTCTTCCCTGTATTTTATTAGTTCAGAGCATAAACGCGGCACAAAGCCACTGCCTTTCGGGCGAGGAGGTTCAGAAGAGGTGTTCAGCGCCGTCAGACGCCCGTCTCACGGACAGAACTTGCCCAGGCTGCTGAGCAGTGCCATCCCTCCCCTGGAACGCAGACCAGAGCTGGTCAGATGCTGTGGTGCCTGCAGGAAAGAGACAAACGGAAAGGAACACTGAAGATTTGCAGACAGCCTTCGAAAAAGGTTAAACATTCAAGTTCTTGGCATCATAATTTGCACTTCACTTAGTAGGGGGAGTAAAGACTGCGCTTTTCTTTAGAGAGATGCACGTTGCCAGTGGTCCAGCGCAAACACGCAAATAGATGGAGTGTCTCAAACTGTGAACGTATGTTCTGGAGCCTTCCCTTTCCTGTCCCAAGGCAAGTACATCCACACTAGCATCATCTCTTCATGCTGCTCTGCAAAGTGTTAAACAAAGAAAGGTTAATGAGCACAACGGCAGTGTTTCCCTGAGAAATCAAAACCCAGGTCCACCCCGGGCAACACCACTGCCTCACACGCAGGCGCTGGGACACCCGGCAGAGCAGGGTATCACAGGCACTCCTTCAGAGCAGTAGCATTAGCAGGAAAAGGCACAAATGCAGTAGGGCATTTGAGACTAAGGGTGGAATTCTCAGCATTTACTGAATGCTTACAGAATTCCTGTTCACTTTTTAAGTCAGTACGGTGTGTTCAGTAGTGGAGTTCAAGTTACACAGTTCGTTACATGTCTTAGTTCCTCAGACAAGGAAAACGCTTGTATCCTGCTCAAAACTTCAAACTGAATTTCATGAAGTGAATGAACAATACGTACCGAGTGTGTACTGAATTTATGTGACATCTCCCACACCACAAGCTTACTGCTCGTGTGCTCTGCTGAAGACAGTAAGAACTTTTTGTTGCAACTACAAAACATTCTAGAGCACTAAAAGTTCTCTTACGTTATACAATTCCATTCCCTGCCCTTTCTTTAAACCTCTAGATGGCAAGAATGACATTACACAAACACTTCATTTATGTATCTCTTGAAGATTAGAATCTTTCTAAAGAAAAATTACCTTGAAATCTTATATTACACAGATGACTTTGGTCAGCCACGTTGGAAAAAGGATTATTTAGGAAAAATGCAATTTACCAGATTTGGTAATCTGGATACTTCCTACATGTGTACCAACAACTTGCTTCTGGCCTACAAGTGTGCACTATCTTACAGTAATTGCTTGTCTACAACCAGAAGTACAGCCAGGAACTGCAAACCCCCACCATTTTTAAGTAGTGCAAGGATGCCTGCTATTTCCTTTTCACAGTCGGAGAGTGCAGATGTATTTAAAATGTTACTGGGATGCAGAAGCATGCCGCTGCCTTCTGTGAGAATTGAAGGACTTGCAGAAGTGATTTTAGAACTACTGTGCACCTATAATCAGTTAAGATCAAGGGGATCTGCAGGATAATGTTTAAACAGATGGTCCTGAGGCAGCAAAATTGTCTGCCAGAAGCAGTCTGAAACAAAACAACAAAATCCAAACCCATCAAATCAAGTTGGGTTACATGACAAAAACCTAACTCTAGCTTTTTATTACTTAAGGTAAAGAGACAATACAGCCTTTCTGCTAAATACAGTATATTACGTGAACATGTAAAAAGCACAGACATTAGAAGGTACTTGCCATCCATGCATTCCCTATTCATTCCTTTGGGTGCCACATGGGTGCCTCAACTATTAACCTGCTCTTGTCCTGGGTAGACAAAACCATTCTTTCCTTACATTTCACTAACTCTCGTGTCAACTGTGAGTTACTGCCAAAGCACACGAATTTGAAAGTCAAACACTTTTGCTAATGTAATAGCCAACAAATATTTGTCAAATCCCTCACTATTCAGAGATGAAGCTGGATAAACAGCATTGCTGTACTAATTCATGGTATTTGTGCCTCAGGTTATTGAAGTCCTTTCACGTAATGTTGATTTAAAACAACAACAGAAAAGAAAACGTTAACAGGGTAAGTGAGTTGTGTCTTGTATTGCCTTCACTGGCATTACTTAGAAGTTACTTTGAAAGGTACTTCATGACACTCAGTGTCTATGAAGCTGAAGGTCACTGAAATAATACGCTTAGATTTAAACTACTACAGGAATAGAGAATATTCCAGGAGCAATCTAAAGAACGGTGAAGTTTAGGAACAAGCAAAGCCATACAGAAACCCTTGTGGTTTGCCACTGAAGTTAAGCAAAGCTTTACACACACCACTTGGCTGGACACCTTTCCATAACAGATGTATCAAAAAGAGAGTGGAAACGCCAACTTTATAAAAACTATGTGGAATATTTCATACAAAATACTCCAAATACTTTTCATTATGTAACTTTTATTTGAGACACGCATTGTTGTAAAAAAGTTCACATGGAATAATAAAACCACTGGAGTGTGAAGGTTTGGGGGTTTTTTAGGGGTTGGGGCTGGGTTTTTGTCTATACACATCAATACACAATTATTGATCAGGCTTACAAGTTAACCACATGACAAGTTCACTTTTATCTGCAGGAGCTTTTCACATTACACCTTTATACCAGAGATAAAATGTGTTTGAACACACAGAGTAGAACACTTCTATCTCAAAATTAAGCATTTTCTCAAGGACTATACTCTTTATTCTGAATTTAGTAGCTATATAGCATTAAAATAACTGTAATTGAAGTTTTATTTGCAAAAACGTTCGTAAGGCCATAGGAATGCACTAAAATACTTAAATTCACCAGAAACAAGAAAAATCAATGGAAAACCTGCTTTTTGGAAGAAAGAAATACAAGTTTTATTTATAAGAATGAGAATGACATAAGCAGTTCAGTGAATGGAGGAGAAAAAAGACCTATTATCACCTACAGACCAATCCTTAAGGTTAACATTGCAAAATTTCAGTTACATTAACAGGTAACCAAATAACAGATGCATTTTCACAAACAACACATTTATGCATTTTACATATTATTCAGGTACTTTCAAATCATTATCCATTCACAATATTTTAACGTGATATGTATATTAAAGACTCCTTTATTCACTTGTGAGAATGATCAACTTAATTCACTTGACTTCAGCAGACTAGTACGGGAAAGGTACTTACAATAGGAAATACTTTCTGTAAAAAGAACTACAGGTCTGAAAAGTCAATTAGCATTTTAAGACTGTCCCCCCAGTAGAAAAGTAAGTGCGTTAAGTTTCACAAGTGGTTTAAGCTTTAGCAATAATAGAACTTCCAGATAGTAAGTAAATCAAATACTCTGTACACACTCAACAAAACCTCCTTGTGCATGTTTTGCTGAGCACAGACTGAAAGCTAAAATTGCAAAGCACTGAGAGCAGTTGGAAGTTTGTTTGGCTTTTTTTTTTTTCCTTTTTTTTTTTCCTTAAACCATTTAGAAAAATATTGGTCAAGGTATAGTGCACAGCCACGGGGCTGAGGGAAAGAGTTCCTAAAACTCCATAGCACAAGCAGCATTTTTGTTTTAGCGAAATCCACCACAAAACGTCTGCCTTTCCTGAAAGGTTAATGGCAGTTTCTGGAACAAAACAGAAATACATTTGCTGCTTAATGAATCATCATTATATGACTTTCATTCTAATGGACATTAGAATACTAACTAATTGACTGAGGTATAGTTAAGAGTCCTTCAAAGTTTAGATTATATAGTCTAGAGCAAAGTAGCAACAGAGGCTGCACAAAACAATCATAGTGATATTAGAAAAGCCTGTAGTACCCAGCATCTGATGCGTAGGCAGAACATACCATTTATCATCACCCGCCTGTCTAAAGGAAAACACAGCTAAAAAAATTCCCAGTAAAACACACAGCTGATCTGCACGCCAGGATACAGCACGTTTCTCAATGTCTGACATGGCAGACTGTACACAGAAAGAGGTCTATACTGACCAAAAGTTAGCACACCGATAAAGTGCAGCCACTCAGCCATTTAATACTGCTGGAGAAGAGGGGTGAGGGCAAAACAGCAAAAAAGAGAGAGAGAAATCTGCATTTTACCTTATCCATAAGACCACATGAAATTAGAATTCTTCAGTTTCAGCAGGGGACAACAAAATTGCATTAAATTCTTCTACAAATAGAAAAAGATGAACTTTACATGAACATTAAGCAAAGTGAAATATTTACTGCATTATTTTATCATGCATAAAGTGAGTTTCCTATGGTCTTACCTCACATTTATGTACAGTTTAGCACAGCTAAATGTAAGAAAATAGCACGGTTTTTTTTCTCCCCACTCCCTCCCCACCCCACCCCCCAACAAAGCAGATACCCCAATTCGCTGCTGCTTCAAGAAGCACTTCATAGACTCTACTACTTACAGGCTCTTTCAAAGGGAAGTTCATGGAGACTAATATTGAATGAACATTTAACCACACAGTGAAGACAGGAAAAACAATACAAAGCATTCTGTAAACGGTGCCAAACACAGAACATGTCAGTTTTGGTTTGCAGACAACCCCTGAGATAAAAATCAAAGTATTACGACACCAAATAAGTCAGAGGTAAATTACTGAAAATAAACAACATTCATAATTGGTGTCACAACACTTTCTGTATAGAAGCACTTTTTTAACCATACAGAAAACATAACTGCTTTAGCCTGTCCAAGAAGAACATCAAGGGTAGACAACAGAGCAGTTAGGGTTGCTTTGTTTTTTTTCATTGAACCTTGTTGCCATGAAGATGTTGCTGGTATAGTGCAGCAACAGGAGTTTATGAGATTTACCACCTAGTTACAATAACTATTTCTGTTAAACTACACATGGGGACAGGTCGATAACCACTTCAAACTTTATGGAACCAGCTACTAATGTTACGCCTTTTAAAATCAAAAGTCTTTAAATCTAACGCTATTGGCCATTTCACTTCCAAAATATTTACAACAGACCCAGAGATGACAAGTTCAGTACCTGACACCACAAAATGAAGCGGTTACCTGTGCTAACAACCAGCTCACTGCTTACAACTCCAGACCATATAGTGAAGCAAAAGCAAGCACATCAGACATGAACTTTGACAATGACAGAATGCACCCATCCCCTAGGAACAAACATGCTGGACGTGAACTTGTAGTTAAAGCTTACAATGGTCCAAGTTTGGCACATCGACAGAACTAAAGCACCTGTTTTAATTGCTCATTGAGGAAATTTTTCAGAAGACAATAAAAAAGTAGTAGAACAAAGACTACGTTATACAATGCTCAGTTGAGTAAAAAAGGCAACTACGTTTGAACTCTGCCTCTAACAGTCTAGGTCACTGTACCAGTTTTTGATGAAAAAAAAAAACAACTTAACTGCTTGAGCAGACCAAAGAGGGCTTCACACATTCAGCATTCACTGCATAACTAAGAGTACATTACAGCCCTAATGTGACAGTTTCCTTAGTGCCACAACTTGATATACTCTAGTAACTGCACAGGAAGATAGTTTTTGGACACCTCGTCGATGCTCACAGACATTAACAAACTATGCTTAGAATTACAGTAGAAATGGAAGTCACCTTTAGAAGCAGTCATTTCTGAACAAAAGAATCCACAGAGGTTACTCAAAATTCATGCATTCAGCTTCCGCAAGCCACTTAAGTGATAGTGATGAGGCTAATTTGTGACGATGATTATTTCAGCTCCAGAGTGCACTTCCTCATCAGAAACAAAAAAGGTGCAGACGGTTTGAGCTAACAAAGGGAAGTTAAGTGAGGAAAGACACTGTGTTTATTCAAATAACTGAAAGGTGCATCTGTGAATCAGACAGTGACTGGCAATTCAGAACACAACTTTGCTAAGTCTGGTAAAGGAAGAAGAGCAACATACTACATTCAGAATAGAATGTCATCGCTTCTGCGTGAACAGATTTGTGCATCTAAGAGACAAAATGCATATCAATTGTTAAATGCCAATTGTTCCAGTAATTCTCATCACTAGAGAGTCAACATCCATACTGCAGTCATGGCCACAAGTATACAGCATAGAAAATAATGGAAGTGAAACATAACTTTTCCCCTGGCTCTTCTGCTTGAAAATAAATTTGTTTAAAAAGAGAAAGAAAAACCTGCACAAATCTGTTAAGAATCTTACTTACAAGTCAAACTGTGCAAATACAAATGTAAGATTGTGCTGTAACAGGCAGTAAGAGGCCAATATGGATGTGCAAAGTTAAAAGAAACATAGCAGCTTTTGCAACAGGCATTAAAACAGAAAGTAAAAAAGGAAAACAGGTTAACTCTTGCATTTGTGTCTCCACTTCATAGCTTCCATATCTGAGAAAGAAGAGCCTGACAGGTCAATAGGCTTAGTGAGCAAAATCCACTCGGTATTTTGTGTATCGCAGTCTACGTTCAATGGAGCTCTCAGCAGCAGCTTGGTGGTATTATTTCTGAGGCTTTGTGACCCTGTGCTTTCAAAGAAGCAGAAAAGGTTCTAAGTGTGCTGCAGTCTATCATTAGAAGTTCATCAAAGTAGCGTGCATCGAAAGAAGCTGCTCTTCTTAGATCGATTTTCTGTTATTTTTACTGGCCCACCTGCCCCTGATGAACTGTTGTCATTCTGAAAGAGACAAGAGCATCAACATCAGGAAATGCCGAAAAAAGAACGTCCAGCTTTCCTGCTCTCCCTCCCCACTTTCCCCCCTTGCAGAGCAACAACCAAAGCAGATGTTTGTTGCAACCCACACTCCTCAATTATTCACTCTGCTAATCACTCAGTACAACTGCCTGGTTTAAAAAGAAACATTTAGCAGTCCAGCTCTCAAGGATTAGCTGAAGGAGTGACTACATAACTTGATGTTTAATAAAGCAAAGATCACACTGTTAACGTTTGAAAAGAACACATCAGTTCCAGGCTGCTGAACGTTAATATTAATGCAAAATAAAGTAGTTACACACTGCTGTGTAACAAAGTGTGATAAAGCACTGCTTGCTCGATTTTGATCTATCATCCCCACCGTAATCCCCAGGAGTATCTTGGTAGGGCTACTATTCAGTTAATTATTATAGCAGTCATTGCAACCTAACTCGTTTGTATGCCAGTTTCAAATACAAACCATTTTTCTGTTGAGCTTTGTCATTATGTCCCGTGCAAGTGTGAAAAATGCCTGGTGAGGAGCAGAAATAAAAAATAAACAAACAAGAGTTAGTCATAAGGCACATTAAAGACAAGATAGATTTGAAGTAGCCAGATGCATTAACAGTACAGTATTCTGTAGGCCACTGCTAGCACTTGGGAGTTGCAAGGCACTCGCTCTGTGTACAATAGGTGTGTACTTAAAACTGCAGTAAGCACGCTTTAGAAGAAAAAAAACTATTTAAGTCTCCATCCATCAAATCTTTGCAGCAAGTGAACAGGCTTGCCCATTGCATACCTCTTGGGCATTAAAAAAACATGATCTGCTGAAGAGAAGGCTGCATAGACCATGTACTGATAGTGTTAGTTACACTTCCAATATCCACATTAGAACAAAATAAAACCATCAAAACCCCACCAACAAAAAATAAAACCATCACAAAAAACCCCCCAAATCCACACTCCAGCAAATCTCAGCATCTCAGACCTCAGTGTACAAAGGAACAAAGAAACTTCTGTAGCAGAAGAACTCTGCAGTTCTCCAGAAGCAACCTAAAATCTTGCTTTTCCCTATCAGGAGTTACCAACAATCCAAGGACGGTTCCAGAATGTAAAAACTAAACATTTCCCCTTTTACTGTGTTCAGAATATATCCAAAGACAAGGACTCATTTAACGCAAATAAACACAACAAATCATACAAATTAATTCACTTCTGATCAAAAGAATATCACAATTGTGTCATTTCCCACAAGTTAAGTATTTGGTGGAACAAAGACTGAATCGTTACTTGCTCAATGCCTGCATCAGCTGCATTTTTTAATGCTTTCTGCACTATTCACGTGACAATTAAATATTCAGATAGCCATGTTGCTTGGAGTAAGCACAAAGTAATGCTGCACATTTAGTGACCTACAGGAGTTAAAATGAAATAGCAAGGCATGCCATGGAAAAGCAAGTCAACCATCTGGAGGAACTAGTGAAGAAGACAGGTACAGTACTTTTTATTTGGAGACTCTTGCTATGCACCACTGGTATTAGCTGTTAATTTTCACACTTCCATTGTCTGTTGTAAGAATCACAGTGACACTGTGAAAATCAGGTCAAGCACTTTTCCAGATGCAACACAGTGAAAACAGGTTAATTCTCAATACATTGTATAACAACCATCCTGCAATCAGAAAAAAATGCTTGACTGGCACGGCACCAGTTATGTTATTTGAAAGTAACGATCTCTTTAGTTTCTAGTGAATTTGTTAGCTGCATGATCTGAATTAAATACGTGTTTGGAGGACTTCTAAAAGGTATCCAATCAATACACACAGAAAAGCTTTTAGACTGTTATGTATAGGCACAGCATTTAAGAATAAGTCTGCCTTATCTGAATGAATGAATCTTGGTATCAGATTATTTTCTTGTTCACGCTTTTTATGGGGCTCAGATCCTCCCTCTGCCCTCTCTGACATGACAAGACTGATTCACGGTAAGACAGACTGGAGCCGAGCCACTCTTCCTTCCAATTTATTTCCTTATGCTCTCATAAATAGGAATCTATGTTTTTAGCATAAAATTCACTTGCAGGAAAACAAACTGCGAGTCAAGGCCTTGACTTCCTCTCTGACATCAGCTTATGACAGTCTATACTGGCGTTCCACATTAACTTCAGTCTCATCTGCATAGCACGTATCTAGTAGTAACCTGAAGGCTCCTTGACACAACAGCATGTTGTTTTCAAAGTTAAGAATCTTAAATCCAATTTCCTGCACAAAGCATTGTTCTAAAATTATACCTATTCCTCATCCAAAAGCACTTGCAATTTAGCAGCAAGGCACAGAAGTCTCAAGGGACTGCTTCCTACAATGCTAATAAACCACTGTTAACACCCACTTAACAACCAATTCCAGACATTACCAGGAAAGAAAAAATGCTGGATTTTACAGCAGCTCTCTAAATATGACAAGACTGGTGACCCCAGAACGCAGGTGGAACTTCAGGTCCCAGATCAGGTCAGAAAGCCCAGTATATCATGAAACATGTCTCCATATTAGTAATTTAACAAACAGACTTAAGTGTAACACCTATCTCTTACCTCTTCCACATTTATGCTGGATTTTGCACTTGTCTCCAAAAATTTGATTCCATAATCAATTGCTAACTGGAAAAGAGGTTAAAGTTTTTCAGTGTTATTGAAGTTCCTTTGTAAAACCAGTGTTTCACATGGGTTCATAATACAATAGATGCTGCACGCTGCAGCAATCTTAAGAATCAAAACCAAACAAGCTTCATTTCTGCTTTTCTCTTACAAAACATTAACGTTACTGGACAATTAGACAAAAATGTTAGAACAGACCATATCCTCGTGTAAATTCAAAACAACAAAGAGATTAATTGCTCACAAAAAGACTTATTTAGCACCTAAAAGAACATTAAGATAAAATCTTCACCGATAGAGATTGATGGACCAGAAAACAACATGCAATCATCCCATAAGCAGTGTTACTAGCAATTACACTGCTTTAGCCGTGTACATAATAGATTACATAGTATTCTTACTTGCTCATTTGTTCTGAAGAACAGCTGATTACTTAAGCTTTAGTAAGCAGGACTTACAGCATGAGTAAGTAATCACCATGGTGAATTCATTAGACTATATACAAAGATTCAGACTGAGATTTAGAATATTTCATGCTGTGGCAAAGGTCAACATTCTTTACAGGATACTCCCCTCAAGACAACAGCATCATTAAGTTTATTCAGACTTTAAGACTCTCAAGTGCTATTTAAAACCAAAACCCCCAAACCTGTCATCCCATAATACATACAAGTTTCTGAAACAAGAGGTTTGAGGCCAATTATCTCTCCTATGCCTAACATGTCCAGCAGCCAAAACCCTAAGAAAAGGAGGCTTCTGTATCAGGTAAGTCACCAAAAGCTTACCTTCTCCCCTTTTTCTTTCGAGACTTGTCTTTTTTCGTTCATATCACATTTGTTACCCAGGATCATTCTTTCTACATCTGAAGAGGCATGCTGCAAAAAGAAAAGGTAATCTCTCAGAAACAAGGTACATCATTGCTTAAAAGAAACCTACCTGTCAAACTCTTCCACAAATGACTACTTTATTTTCTAAAAGTTATCTAATGTGAAGGCATTGCTGAGGAAGAGACTGGCTTCTAAAACAGCCAATTTAATGCTTACATATTAAAATTGGTTGGAATAAATCCTCCTAGGTTAAATTTGCCTGAGTATTAAAACAGATCAACTACAGTGCCACGAGCTCTGTACCAGCCTGCACACATGCACAGGCATTTGGCTATTCTGGAAATGTAACAGTACTCACTTCAAAGCGGTGCACAGACATCTGAGGTATTTGGTTGCAGTATCATGCAATACAATTGTACTTTTGAAACAGATTGTTAATAAAATACTTTAATAATCACTTCAGCAAGAGAACTTTTCCAGCCCACTCACTATAGTATCAAACTGGTCACTAATACAGGAATTTTGCCTAAGAGCCAAGTAACAATACTAAAGAGAAGCCCATGGGTTTTATGTTTAAGGAAAAAACCCCAAGCCAGAAACATTCTGTTACCTAACTATAGCTTCACTAAAATAAGGTTTCTCCTCTCACTTCATAATGACCTATTCCTACTTGACAGCATGTCCCATTAAATGATTTACAGTAAGTTAGCAGGAAGGAAGTTTAACCAAGACCAAATGAAAAGGTCAAAAATCCCTAATGGGACAAACACACACCACAGTAACAACCAAATTTAGACAGATCTGTCATCACCTCAGTGAAAGGCAGACACCCTAAGATCTTGCTTCTTCCCATTCCTCAGACACGCCCAAAATCAAAAAAGAACAATGAAAGTCATATAGTAAAAGCAGTTTTGAAGCACTTTACGCGTACTTTCTAAACTTAAGTTCTCTACTTTCTACCCCTAGGTGAGTAAGAAAATCTTCTCCCTATTAATAACCACTGCTGCATTCACTGCACAGTCTAACTTGACCGCATATGTTGGCTACTATAATAAAAATGAATAATTACTTGGTTATTATTGGTCCCAGGAAAATCGTAAGATGAATGAGTAAGAAATACTTCCCAAAGCACCTACCTCCTCTATGTTTCTTATCCAGTTTTTTATGTTATCGAAAGACTTTTCGTTTGTGATGTCGTACACCAGCATAATTCCCTAAATAAAATGAAGAAAGTCTAGTTAGATGAGCTAGCACTATTGGTTGCCTTTTGATGTATGCCATTGGTTTGATTATACTTGTGAGAAGTTCAACCCAACTTATACACCTACAATCTTTTCTCAAGACATTATGGCATTGCTGAGAATTTACCCAAAATGTTACTATTTGACATCTTTCACCACTGTGAGAGGTAAAACACACCACCTACATGAAGCTTTAAATTATTAGCCTATAGTCAGGAACTGTGCAGAAATTCTACAACAGTAACCACGACTCTATTGCTAGTCAAGTTTAGAAGCAGCAGCTTTAAGCAGTCAAAGATGACAAACCTGTGAGATCCAGTCTGCTGGGGCCAGTAGATCCTTACAGCAAAGCTGACACTAGGGACTCTCCCTGAAGCTGTAGCCCTTTCAGTTACGTACGTATACTAGCCTGGGCTCTCAACAATTAGCAAAGCATAGGAAAACACACAACAGCGGCATTAAGGGCAGATTGCCAGGTTCACCTCCATTCCTTATTGTCTTTCCAATCGTTCCTCACAGGGCAAAGAAAATTCCTTGGCCATGGACTGGGAGGTGGGGGGAAGACCATGTCACTGCCATAACCTTTTTAAGTACTAGAAAGCTCTAAGAACAGAGCCACAACCATTACTGTTTCTCCCCATCTGCATCCCGTAACAGTGGAGTTATTTGGACCCACAGCCAGTCCATGAATGGAATGGATCCGTTCATACAAAGCAATAAAAATACGTAGTGGCAACATAGCTAGTAATCAGCAAGTTGAAATTAACAGTGTCCCAACATAAAGTATCTCAAACTACAGCATTAATTAGAAGTACCATTACAAGCAGTTGCAGCACAATGAGTGCAGGCTCCAAGTCAGTTATTTGACTTCAAGTCACTCTTAATGTCAGAAAAAGCAACAGTGGCTTTTGTAGGTGCTTATATTTCTAGCCCAGATTTTGCATTCTCTACTGGTTGAAAGAAATCAATTCAGTGAAATGCACTTTTAATATTAAAATCATCCATTAGCTATTTTTCAAACATTTCAAATGTTGAAAGAGGTTGACTGCAGTAAAAAAGCCTTGGCCCATTATACTTGGCAACTTCACCTTTTATTATAATCTGCACAAGTTTTAATTATGTTTCAAGAGACAATAGGGCTTGAAGTTTCATCACAAGAACAGGACTAGACAAAGTACCAACAGGTTTAAAAAATGAAAGACACAAAAGAGCAAACCCCAAAAAAACTCCAACCAAACCACAAACTTAATTCCTTGCATCTCAAGCCGCAATTACCCTGCCCTCCAATTGAAGACTTACATGATACAACCTTCAGAACAGCAAACCAGTTACACTAGTTGTGCCTAATTGGTTTGAATTGAGAAGACTCACCATGGCTCCTCTGTAGTAAGCGGTTGTGATTGTGCGGAATCTCTCCTGGCCTGCTGTATCCCTAAAACGCAGTGAAAACAAGCATTTGTTGGAGGAGATCTTTACACTCTTCTGTACTCAGAGATCTTTTTAAACACAGTAACAATATAAAATACTCACTAAGAAAAAATACCATTAAGCAGCTGCTTGCACAAGTTTTTTCAGCCCCCAACATCTTCCTCATTCCCAAGCTAATCCTACTTACATCCATGGTTATAGCAGCACCATAAATATGGCACAAAAGCACTTAAAAGTTCATGCAAGCATTAGGACTCAGCACTACACAGCCTCCCCTAGAATAATTCAAAAAGGCAGCTCTGATGCATCCGAGTCCTGCATTAAACAAAAAATGAAAACATGCAGCAGTACAGTATTTTAGGATAGTGCATTTTCACATACAGTTAGCTATTAAAATCAGCCACTATACCTTAGTGTGCTGACATATTATCCTAGATGACTTCAAAGCAGTGTCTGTGAGTGAACAAGAGGACCAGAGTGTTTGGCTACTAGTCACACCGGGGGGGAGCTGAACCCCAAAGGCCTGACAGAAAACAGCTTTTTGACTTGTTATTACAGACAGCAAATTTGTACCAACCACTTCTGCCACTTCACTTCCTTAGTCACAACAATTCTGGCTTGCATGCAAATCTTACATCTTTGTTAGAACCTGAGAAATCAGGGGCAGCCCGACATTCACCAGTAGGATTTTAAAGAGTTTGGCACATGTAATACTGCTACTCCAGAAATACTCCTCTGCTGCTACTGCGAGGCTCAGTCTCTACTAACCCACCATGCAAGGCATGGGAGCATTCTCAGTCTTCTGTGCCTCTAAGTGCAATTAGCTATCAAAGTAGCAGAGGAGATTGCATTTTATTAGGTTGCGTGTTTCAGTTTACACGTATGGAGCTACTGCTTCTCTTCCACAGGGAATAGCTAAGACCACATTTAAGAGGACAGCTTTTGATAAAATGGGAAGTTGCTGTAATGTTTGCATGTGAACAGGCTATTTCCAGTGCTACTGGAGCAGAACCAGTCCAAGAGCAAGCTAGAAGAAAGCATAAACTTCATGGACAGTCAATGAATAAAAGGCATGAAACTTCTGGTGCAGCAGGCTCAAAAGCTATGAAGTATTCCTGCTCAATGATTTATTCCATGCTCACCGAAATCTTAAATCACTTGGCAATACTTACCATATCTGTAGCTTGATTTTCTTTCCATCTAATTCTATTGTTCTGATCTTAAAGTCGATTCCTGCCAGAGAAAGCAATACTCTGAGTTTTGCAGTAACTGAAAGGGAAGGGTTCAGTTTTGTTTTGACAATTTGGTATGAGCAAACGTCGGCAAAAGAATTATTCTGAAGTTGTCATTTCTTCCAAACACAGGCAAGTGCCGAGGATGCACGAAGGTTCGCTGCTGCATCCGAAATGTCAAGGATAAATTAGTCTGCACAATGAAATAGACCAAACTCAGCCTCACTATTGGAGTTAGTCAAGATTACAAGAGGAAGACTTAATCTCAGAATTCTGCTGGTTTACACCAGTGAGGTCACTAGCTCGAATGCGTATTTTTCTCCCCTTTTGACAAGCCCCTGCAGTTCAAGTCAATTCCCTAGAACCTTAGCTGGCTCTGAGGAAAAAAACACACACTATGACCCCTTAGTTCCTTCTCAAAGCTGGCATCTACTTTTGAAAACTCCTGTTTGATGCAGTCTAATCAGAGATCACAGTAAACGGTAAAGCACTAGGAGATAAAAGCTGTACACACAGCTGCTGAAGCAGACCACGCATGGGACTTTTTCAAGAACACCAGTTCAGGAGTAACTCACATTTTCTAGGAAGCTCTAAAAGGTACCAAGAAAACACTTCTTTCCTTCCTCGCCACCCCTTACACTTCCACATGGTACCGAGCAGTTCTGAGACGGGTTCCAAAGACAGATTTTAAGCCATAGGTGGGGGAAAAAAAAAAGTAATTCAGAAGGGCTTAATATCTTTTAAGGTTTAAAGGGATCAGATGACTCCATGAACCAAAGCTAAGATTTCCAAACAAACTGCCTTTACCCTGGACTGTTTTAACCTTAGTGTCTCTAGACCTACACTCACAACAAAGCAGACACTACTCAAGTGCCACGATGTGAGTGCCAGATTTGTGTGTCCTGGGACAGCACCCCTACGTACCCCCCAATTAATCTGTCTTGAAAGTAATGGCCCATTTTTTTTCTTCATTGAATCTTAGATAGTTACTTGATATATAGTCACAGTTTGCAAGAGATTTGGGTGCATGGGGCAGGGGTTGGGGGTTCTTTAATTATTTCTTCATATGTAATTTAAGTGACAATTACCAAGAGTATCTTACTTGGGAAAATGCCATTTCTAGCTTTACGAATTCATCCATTACTTAAACAGGAAGCTATGGGGCTTTATTAATATCCTACAGTAACATCTGAATATGAAATATGGACATTCATCAACTGTTTGACTTTCATTCTCGCATGCGATATTAATATTTTAAAATACTGAAAATAACAAGTTTCAGCCACTTAATCCTGATGTGCTCTGGATGCCCCGTTCAGCCCATTAGTTAGAATACAAATTATACACAGAAATCTCACATCAGCACTTTTAACAGCATATGAAATTAATTGCATTCATTTCAAATGCTGTGACTATTGCTACAATTGCAGTTTCCCAGGACTCACGAGGAGATTTACAGGCAAAAAGATCCTTTCACTAATTCACATTCTTCTAAAAATGACATAAGAATGCCGTGTGCTTTAAAAGAAATCCTTATGATATGTATCAGGAGTTTGGTGAGCATTTCCATTCCACATTCAAGAGGATTTTGTGTCACCCTTGTTGTAAAGATTTTTCTCCTAACTAGGTGCAACACTTGCTGAAATCACAAACGACCTTTGCTCTAAATAGATTTTCTTTTGGCCTCAAAGGTTATAAAGCACAAATTAAAGCTTCTTCTGGGAAGGGTATTGCATCACAGACAACAGCAAATGAAATCAGTTTTAAAAGCTCCTCTGTGGCTAGGCTTGGAGTCTTAGAATTAAGTCAAACAACTATTGGGAAAACTAGGTTCAGAGACTGCTGTGGTTTAAAGACAATTCTGTATGCACTGTCAGCTGCTGAAGCTAAGACACCGCAGCAGCAAGTCAAAGACTCCTGTAGGAATGGTTTTCTGAGCTGCAGTCAAGTATCTATACGCACCAACCCATGCCTTGCACAGGCTGGTTTCTTGTGGTGAGTCGTTGCCCTTGCAGCACTAAAACGGTTTGTACAACCACTCCTTTGATCACTGCTAAACCTCAGGATCTGCAGCAAAAGGTGTCTCCTCGGAACTTCAGATTTCTAGTAGGAACTTCCACCAAAGTTCTCAAAAAAGATGCATTTCAAAGCTCAAAGAAGACTAGAAAAGGGAAGGCCTTAAATGCCTCTCTTACGGTACTAAAAAGTTTAACAAATGCAACTGCAACTTTTTAGAGGCTAAAATGAACTAGAAACGAGTGTTTCTTTTGTTCTTTCACTTCAGTAACAGGAAGTGGTGAGCTGCAAACATTCGCAGAGCAAGCCTGGTGACATGTGCTACCACTTCCTGCCAAGTGCATTTGCATGGCTCAGTACGAGCAATGTCCTGTTACAGTTAAAGTCTAATTACACCACCTGAAACACTCCCATGACTACAGCACTGCAAAAGTAATTATTGACAGATTTTCCTTTACCGATGAATTCTTATTTTGCAGTCACACACTGCAAAATACAAAGCTTCAAAAAGATAGCTGGGTCTAATCAAGAAGAGTCATTTGTGAATCAGAAGGTTCCACTGCAAAGGATCACACAGCTTTCAGAGTTTTAACATGCAACGTGCAACATTATTCTCCCCAGCAGGGAGAAAGCCCAGAAACACCTGAAGTGAAGTTTCAGAAGCTTTTAGAAAACACAGACCTAGATTAATTCTCAGAATGCAAAGGCTAAGAGGGTAATTCTTTTTAACCCCTAAAGCAGAGTTGCCCTAAGTCTGACACACCAGTGCCCACCTCGCAAGTCAGTACGTATTAGCTATGGCTACAAGAGCATCTCTTGCAGTAACCACAAGCTTGCAGTCTGCAAGGATGAGGTCCAAGCTGAGACCTCGACTGTGCCCTGGTAAGGACTGTAACTGCTGGATTCCCCTTGCAGCATGGTAAAAGCAGCTGACGGATTATTCTTCAGAACCCTTTGCAGATCCTTGCTCACTGTAGGCTGGGGATGCACCCTCTTGCCTGAGGGTATTTTCTGCTGTAGCTTCCAACAATGACAAAGAATACACTAAGCAGAGAAATCTGCACACTAAGAAAGTCAGTGTCGTCAGTGCCACAGAGTCATACACAGAAAGCCATGAGTTGCATGTTGCCATATCTGCCTTGTATCACTACACAAAGCTAATAAAACTCACCAGCTAGGGTCTACCACTGCCCAACACCACACAGCCAAGTATCAGAAGCCAGGGAGACTGGCCTCACTTAGTCCTCTTTTGGTTTAAGCCAAGAAGTTATGTTCATCTTGTACACCAAGAGCTCTTCTTGCTGCTACTACTACTTCTTCCACCACTCCACTCCTGAACTAGACATTCCTTCTTATTCCAGCCAATCTAGGCAGATTTTACCTGTAATTACGCTGTAATGCAATCATTTTAGAGAGACATTGGGAAATGTTCCACAGAGGTACAACACTAAATATATGGGACTATCTAGCAGTACATACTGAGAGGTTTCTTTTCAAGCTTTAGTACCAATGGTTTTCTACTATGAACCTTAACAAAACTACTGGCACAATTCTCACAGGAATGCAAGGACAAACCAAGCAGAGATGCTGAAACAGTTCATTTTGCTACTTGAGTTCTTAGAACAGTAGCTTACTCTTATGGCATCACTGTTACTCTTTTGTTCTCTCCTCTTTCAGGATCTTAACCGTGTACTCACCAGAGCTAGGATCTCAGGTTTTTCAGTGCTACAGCACTGGTTTCAGCTAGGTCTCCACTACAACTTTTCCCT